GCAGAAGGGTTCACAAACCTGTGTTTTATATGACCTTTGAAGGTCATATAAAAAATTTTCAAAATATCATTTTGAACGTAAAATTTCCTGTTTTTTCTAAATCCGGGGTCAAAAATAGGGGTTCCCATTGAAAAAAAAGACCTTGACCTTCAAATAACCTTGAAAGGTCATCTCAAGGTCAAGGTCATTAGCACAGGTTTGTGAACCCTTCTGCCCTGAACATTTTTTGTCGCAACTATTTTCCCGTAAAACGGGTAGTTTAGGAGATATTCGGAATTATAGATTAAAATGGGTCACCCTGTATATTATCCGCTATACTATTCTAAGGGACGGTTTTTCCAACCTCTTGCTAAGCTAACTAACAGTTAACTCATACGTCTGTCTTTGTTTCTACTTTAAATTAGATGGAAACAGACATAAGATTTAACTGTTAGTTAGCTTAGCAAGAGGTTAGATAAACCGACCCTAACTCTATTCTACTCTACTCGATTTATCAGACAGCATTGAATTGTCATGAATCATGAAAATGCTAGATGCTTGTGACTATCATATTTTTCAACCTTAGTGAAACTAACTCGTACTAACTCCAACTCGAATTATCGTAAACACCCAAGTGTGTACTAATGTTCCAACCTCTTGCTAAGCTAACTAACAGTTAACTCATACGTCTGTCTTTGTTTCTACTTTAAATTAGATAGAAACAGACATAAGATTTAACTGTTAGTTAGCTTAGCAAGAGGTTGGATAAACCGACCCTAACTCTATTCTACTCTACTCGATCCGTATGTCGGATAGAGTTAGGATTACTTTTCAACTGTGCTTATATTTTGGTATTTTTTAATAATAAATAATAAAATCTAAATAATAAAAAAGATATTATCCACTTCACGTCGAAAATACCAGTCTCTTTTCAAGCCGCTACGCTTATTAGCTTTAATTGTCACTAGAAAACACTAGTTTACACAACCGACTAGTAGCCCTCGAACTGAGTACGGATGTGTAGTGTTGTGTCGACGATTACGACAATTGGAATGCAACTTGGATGCGTTCTTTTATTCGCAACAAATACAACCCGATGCATCCGATGCATAATTTAATCGTTCTGTATATCCAGTTGCGCACATAAAGCTACAGACTGCGTAAATCTTGGCCGTTCTTTAATTTAAGCAAGCAGAATCGTGCAACTGCTTGCAACTTTTAGCATCCCAATCCAAGCGGCTGCCGAAAAATTGCAGCCTGAGTTCCGAATATGTAGGAACCTTAAGTACGAATACGGTTCTTTGGTGTGTAGAAAGTAGTACGTTTCTCAGACAGCACACAATATTTATGATAAATATTTATTTCGAATTATTTCTTAAAAATATTATATAAATATAATATAAATATTTTATATACATGAAGGAAAAAGTATCAAAATCTTTATTGAAAATATTATTAAAATACAGACTAAATATTTTACACAATATTTATAGTAAACGAAAAATAAATATTTGTAGTAATATTTTGTAGTAATATTTGTAATAATATTTGTAGTAATATTTGTAGTAATATTTGTAGTAATATTTTGTAAATATATCTATTTACAAATATTATATATAAAAATAAATTATTTAAAATTATTAAATTAATGAAAAAATAAGAAATTCGAATCTCAGCAATGGTAAGCAAATTTTCAAAGTACAATTTAAATTCAATTAAGTAGCGTGTGAAACAACCCTTATAGAAATATCATACTAAGAATCATTGATAATTACTTATTATCCAGTATTTTTAATACTGAAAATAAGTAATTATCAATGATTCTTAGTATGATATTTCTATAAGGGAATAAAGTGGAAATTTTAAGAAAAATTCAGGAAAAGAGAAAAATATATATGCCCAGTAAGCAAATTGAGCGCAGACTGCGCGCAGATTGGCAGCAAATTTGATCAAAAACCCATAGCAAAACCATAGTCATCTGTGTCTACATTAGGCTACGGTTTTGGCGATAGATCTTGCTGTCGGGCAATTGATGTCAAATTTGCAGCAAAAACCGCGCAAAGCTTGCAGCGCAGCAAGGTCTGCGCGTTTCTGCCGCCAATGTGCCGTCAAATCGCTACAAGCTTTGCACGGTTTTTGCTGCAGATTTGCAGCAAAGAAAAGAATCCAGTCATATGTCACCAATTCTAAGTTTATTTTTAGGTACAAAAAGAATTCTTTTCACTGAATTGAACTCTGAAGAATTCTTTTTGCACCTGAAAATAAAGTCAAAATTGGTGACATACGACTGAATTCTTTTTGAATTCTCTGTGCTATCTGGGATCTTATATGAGACATTCAACATCACGAGTTGGATTCAGAAAAAAGCGCAAGTATTTTAATTACATTTTTATCTATTAGATACAAGATTCAGAAAAATGCAAATATTTTTATTACATTTTTATTTATTAAAGATAAGCGTTTCATCTATCTAGTGGTGGTCCTGAATCTGCTGTTCGAGCCAAACATAATAAACACAAAACATAATAAGTCAGACTCGTGATACGGATTACAAGCTAAACACGGACGATTAGTCTTGACGCGCTTGTCTCTTATGACATACAAGTCTATCGCGTAGTCTATCGACTAATATTCCGTTAATGAAAATCACATCTTTTTCAAATGAAGAAGCATTTAAAATGTTAATGGTTTTGAGCGGATTCAAGAAGTTTGCCATTCTTCAAATTCTGCAAAAGTCCTAAGAATCGTCAGTAGCGTGAGACAAAAAATAAAAAGATATCTTCATTAAGGTGGCAGACATTTTAAACATCTGTAATTATCTTTTCATTTCCGAGGGACATTAAATTTTTTTTCAAGTAAAAGTTATTTCTTTTTAAAAGCTCTATTTAACAATATCTATACTGCTATTTAAAATTTTTAAGTTGTCTTCGGTTTCTGGTATTTCCGGGGGTTTTTCAAAACTGTAAATATTACCATTAGAAATTTCAGATAGGCTTATGATAAACATACGTTCTCAACTTCCTAGCACCACTCCTTTTTAAAATAGAAGAAGTAGACAGATGCTCTGAAACATCCTATATATAGATCCTATATATAGATCCTGTATATAGATAGCCTGATAATCAAAAATAAACCTGATAAGCTAATGCGCATGTGCAGATAGAACCCACCAACCTGAGCATAAAATATCTTATTGTTTTTTAAACAATCAGGTAAAATTTCGAAAAACTACTAAAAGAAAATTAGCAAACTAATGCGCGCGACGTTGCGAGTCGTTTTGTAAGGGCGACCTCATCGAAAATGATTATGATTTGCAAGTTTTTTTAGTGACACGTATACGACACGTTTGCGATAAAACGAATGCACCGCTCGCGCATTTTTATTTTTCCTTCAGTCGATATCTACCGTTGTTTAGAAGCAGTCGTTTCTCAACCATTTTATGAAGTTGCGCTCATACAGAGCTCGTCGTTTAGTGCGCATTGGTTCGCGATCTTTTTTTATTAAATCCTTGAAATTTTACGTGGTTATATAAAAAATAGTAAGGTATTTTTTGCTCAAGTTAATGTATTCTATCTTTTAAATGCACACATGCATTTGCTTATCTTGTTATTCTGCTTATATGTCATTGCTTTTACTATAACGCATTATTTTGCTTAAAATAATGGATTAAAAATGATAGAAAATGCTAGCTTTTTTCAATGATAATTTTGCATCTCTTTTCGTAGGACGTACTTAAGAAATTTCACAAATAAATTGTATTATAGATTCCCAGTAAACACAAAGTATCATCGACATTACCATGTCAGCTCAATCATATGGTATATTATGTAACTGTTACTTTGTTATATAACAAAGTAACAATTACGTAATATACCATATAATTGAGCTGACATTGTAATATGGATGATACTTTGTGTTTACTGGGTTATCATATTTCTCTTTTGTAAATATATATTTGATCGGTATTTAAATAGGGTAAAAAAAGGGTTGCAACATTACCATTGGAAAAGAAAGCCAGCATTTCCCATCATTTTCTAATTATCATTTTAACCAAGATACTGCATAGGAACTTCGTCGAAAAAAATTTTTAAACCGTTTATTTGTAAACGAGTGCACAAATACGAAAATATGGTTGAAGGTTATCGTGAAGGAAGTTAAGTATTTATTTTATAACTAAAATAAGAATACACATATAACCTTAACAACACAAATGTCCAGAAGACGTCCAGAGTACGTCCTGAGAACATCTTGGAGACGTTCCTACGTCCTCAGGACATCTCTGAGACGTCCCCAGGAGATCTTGTGCTGTATGGAAACCCAGCACAAGATCTTCTGAGGACGTCCTAAGGTCGTCTCCTGACGAAGAATATCCTCAGGACGTTCTCAGGATGTCCTCTGGATGTCCCCTGGATATCTGTGCTATTAGGGAAGGCAAGAGTCAAACGCCGATGTTAAAATAAATATTTTTTTATGTTAGGAGAATATGGTGAATCAATTTTCCACGTCAAACCATCGTTGATTGCCAATTTTTAATATTATTATTAATTAACGTTATATAACAGTTATATTGTTGAGTGAGAAATTATAACTAACAATTATATAATTGTTACTTGATATTTGGTGAGTATAGATCGAATTTTTCATTGTGTGTATAATTATACACCATTCAGTAATATAGATAAGATTAAATCAAATTTATGATAAGTGATAAGGGCGTATCCCAGCAAACAATATAACTTTGATATAACATAGAAGTAACATATAATATAACTGCTATTATATTATGTTGTTATTAATATTGAGGTTATTTAATTTCCTTTATAACTGCGATATAACTATGTTATAAAACTGTTATTATGTTATTTACTGGTTAAGAAGTCAAATGTTTGTATTACTTTTTAGTTGTACAATATTTTTATACACAAATGTGAAATTATATTTTAGATGTTTCTCATATATAAAATGTGATATTTTAATATATGCAAGAATCGTAATCACGATATTGTAAAATTAGAATTCTTACAAAAAGAGTCTAATCATAACTTTACTCTATCAAAATATTGTAAGAGAGAAAGAAGGAATATTCTCTCTCTTTGCGAGCATGTTGTAGGTTAAAATTTCATTACTGATACAACATTGTATCAATATTAATCGCATTGTGATTGTTGTTACGTTGTGTCAAACATTTACCAACAAATGTCATAACATTTTTTGAACGATATAAGAGTATATCATCTACCAAAATATCGTTACAGCGTATCGACATCATCAGTACGATCGTTTGAAGTTAAGCATTGAACGATATGATGTAAAAGTGGGTGTGACCGCCTGACACAGGATCGAAACCACGCGAGTTTCACGAATAAGTAAAATGACACGAAATATGAAATGCCAGTTTTTTTTTTATCATTTAGACAAAATAATCATTATCACTTATCTGAACCGTACTAATGAATAAATCGTTGGAATTCAACAAAAAAAATATATGTGTTTGCTGGGACATTACTTAGTTATTTTGCAGTTATATAACATTAATTGATGTTCCTATATAACCATAATATAATATGATATATTACATATTACATCTATGAGTGAGAAATAATAACATAACAATAACATATCAATAACTTTCATGCAATATTATCTGTTATAATCATTTCTATTGCAGTTATATATATAATTTATATAACTGTATTTGCTGAGATATAACGCAAATCTTGTGTAGGGATTTCTGTTAATTTTATCAAGATTATCGATTGTTGATTACTATTTTAGTATGGAATAGACTCGTCTGTTTAGTAAGGCGAAATATATATATTTAGAATAATAGATTTCTAAATTTATAGTTGATAATACTGGTTTGTATGATCACACTATCGCAACCCTTATAGAAATATCATACTAAGAATCATTGATAATTACTTATTTTCAGTATTAAAAATACTGGATAATAAGTAATTATCAATGATTCTTAGTATGATATTTCTATAAGGGAAGTGCCTTAAACATCGTGAAAACCGTTATAATTAATGCTATATACCCGAGTAAAAATGTATCTAGTAGAACAGATTTCAAGACTAGTAGTTAGATAGTAATGACTAGATAAGTTTTCTAGTCAGTCACCAGCTCGTGACTGGCTAAATATTCCTACTCAGTCTTTTGAATGTCAGGACTATCTAGTGACTATACTAATTACATAGATAGTAGCTAGATGAAAAAGATTACACAGTAACGAGATAGAAAATCATCCGTAAATCCTGAATAGAAATTGGATATCAGAACTGTCTAGTAACTGTAGTAACCAATTATAGTTACAATTACTTTTTTGTATCCAGCTACTAGATAATTTTTCTGGTACAGCCACTAGGAGAAGTGAGCGTTACATTCCTAGCTAGTAGCCATGTAAGACCCAACTTTTCTATGTCATTACTAGACAGTCATTAGATTCAATTTTTGCTCGGGTATTCATTTAAAGCAATGTGTGTAAAACACATTATATGAGATATTTTGCGGAATATTTGTTTAAACAAAAGTATTATTTTAAAGAAAAAATACTTACTTTTTTTAATAAAGAAAAAACTGTAAAAAACTATTAAAGCGGCACAGTAGCAACGATAAGGTCTATTTAGCACAAAATCTTTTAAGCGACGGATATACAGGGTGGTCTACTTAAATCAGACTTAATATTAAATCGGAAATTAAATCGAACTTAATATTAAGTCGGAAAATATATTGGAGATCATTTTGAACATCTCCTTGACTAAATTTTTTGTCAAAATAAAGTATAAAATATCTCGTAAACTACTGATTTTTCGACAATTATATTTCTTAGTATTTTTATACATAAAATAAATAGAGGAATAATATTTATAAAAAAATCATAATTCCATTTAAAAAAGTGACCCTCATATCTTAGCGGGTCTACTTAAAAAAAAAGCAACGTGACCAAAATGTGTCCTCCTCGACACCTTTCCACTTTCATCTAAAACATTTTTCCGTATCATCAAAAATAAGTGAAATATTTAAAGTGTTCGATTTAAGTGGACCACCCTATATATCTCTGTAAATTTTATTGATATACAAATTTTACTCTTAAATTAATAACTATGCGGCAAAATATTTAGGTTAGAAAATTAAAAAATTTAACATCGACATTCAAAAATTTAATGTGCTCAAATTTCATTTAAACTCATTATCATCTCTATAAAGTGTATATATATTATAATTAACGCGTACATATATATTATTAATTAATATTCTAAATTTTAATGTTATAAATTTATTCTATGTTATAATTAACATATATTATATATGTTAGTATTCGATACTCTAATATTCTAATGCTATGTATTCTTCGAGTATAGAGTTGTATAAAAGATTTTTGTATAACCGGCATTTGATAAGATTATCTAACATTTTACTGGTGATTAATGAGGAAGTAAAAGAGAGAGGGAGAGATATTAGGTAGAAATGGAATAGAATAGAACAGAATAGAAATAAATTATGTTTATACTAATTATGTTTAGATATAAATTATGTTTAGACTAACTTATCCGTGAAGTATACATATTATAATTAACATATATTAACTCTCCAGACAACATAATGTCTAAAATCGGGACATAAGACATCTTAAAAATAATCTTTAAAATGCCTTAAAGACATTTATACGTAAATCATCTGAAAGATATCTTAAAGATGACCTTTAAGACGTCTTATGTCCCAATTTTAGACATTATGTTGTCTGGGTCTTTAAGTATAGAATAGCATCATAAAGCCGAAGTCAATTATTATCACCAAACAGAGAGAGTAAACATATAAATATCCTTATAAATTCTTTAAGTAATAATAGTTTTCTCATATTTATCGCAATGCAATTCGGGCACGTCAAGTTTTTGAATCCTAATGTTAAATTTTTCTTCAATTTCTCACCTAGATATTTTGACGTATAATTATTAACTTAAAAGTAAAATTTCTATGTCAATAAAATTTATGGAGATATTATTAGTTTTCTTGACATTCTTATAAAATTTCTGTCAAAATTTTTATTAAATTTTTGAGTATCCCAGACAACATAATGTATAAAATCGGGACATAAGACGTCTTAAAGATCATCTTTAAGATGTCTTTCAAACGATTTACGTATAAATGTCTTTAACGCGTCTTAAAGATTATCTTATGTCTCGATTTTAAATATTATGTTGTCTGGAATGCTTCAATTAATTTGTAAACTTTTCTACAGAATTAAATACATAGCTAATCCAGTAAGAAATGACTCGTCAATCGACGTCGAAACGATGTCGATCGACAAGTTATTTTCAGGAATTGTATTGATTTCATTTATTTTTTAGCAAAAAAATTAACTTCTTAAATAATTTTAGTTGTTTTACTTTCTAAGTTCTTTTTACTATCTATTTTTTAGCGAAATATTTTAGCGAAATTATTGAAACAATGTACATAAAAATTTTTATTCTGAATATTCCTTAGAATTTATTAATTCTTTCCGTTTTATGAACGTTTTATTCATTTTCTTTCAACAAGTTACAATTTTCTGAGAAAATAATAATACTATTAATAATTACCCAATTCACAGAATAAATAGCGAGCACTATGCGTTTACGTCAATGTCTCATATGGTTTATATGTTTTATATATGTTATTACAACGGTAATATTATACAAAATGCATCTGTATAAAAGTTTCTTTGCCACCGACAAACACTCTTTTCCCAAGATTAAATTCAAAGAAACAGAATCCACAAATATTGCTTCATATGAAGCTCATCTTCTGAAAAGAGGCTTTACTGACAAACAGGTAAAATGTTGCATTCTTTCGCATTATGATTTGGTCTTATACTAATAAAACATGCTAATCAAATAATTTTCCGTAACAGTTTCGTTACATTAATAGAATTTATGTTTTCTTCATATTATAATAATATTACGATTTCTTTCCATCAGATACAAAATATGTCTCTTCTCGGAAAGTGGATGTTGGCGCCAGAAGGAAGTCCATCACCAATAAATGATCCTAAAAAGAATTATTTGATTCTAATATGGAAATACGGAAACTACTTAGCAAACAGACATATTAAACGTTTTTCGAACAAAACGTTAGTTTCCACTATTAATGTTATCAATCGAACGGATTATATTTCTTTAGATTTATAAAGAATCGAACGGATTATATTTCTTTAGATTTATAAAGAATCATAACTGATCAGAGTTATGCAAAAAAGATTTAATCCACAAAATTATAGTTTTTGTTACCAATGAATAGTCTATATGTCTTTCTATATGAAGTCAAAAAGATTTAAATTTCATGGGCAAAATTAATTAAAAAATAGTTTTTCTACTAATTGCACTATTTTTTACTAGTTATGTCTTTTTTACCTATTTTTTAAAGGTTAAAGCTTGTCGATGAATACCTCTAAAGAGAAAAAATTAACTATGCTTGACTTCTTAAAGGATTACGAAAAATCTCAGTGTACTATATTTTTAAAATCATGTATTAAATTTTCATCTACATTATTCTCGAAATATGTCTCGATACTTCATGTGATTTGAATCATTCTTGCATACCTACGGCCAATTGTTCGAAATTTTCATAACGAAAAACTGCAGGACTACCCAATAAACACCAGTTAACAGAAATATTACATCAATATTATAGTTTCTCACTCAACAATGTAACTGTTACATAACACACGAGTTATATTACATTTATATTGTTGAGCGGGAAATTATAACATTGATGTTATATTACTGATAGTTGATATTTATTTGGTAAGATATACGAAACTATGGGTTTCAGATATTCACCATGGGAAAATTGTTCAGTACAAAATTGCATGCTAAGTTATGAAGACAAAGACTTGCACCGAGCGCATGCTGTAGTGTTTCATATTCAGTTTCTGTCACACGCATCGAATATGCCATTGAGAAATCGAATTGATCAACGTTGGATTATGCTGATGGACGAGTCACCCATGTACCTCCTTTCCTCATCCCAAAAGACATCGGATTACGATGGCCTATTCAATTGGACCATGACCTATCGAATGAATAGTGACGTGCCCGTCCCGTATGGCAGAACGATCAAGAAGACGTTGGAATCTTTTCAGTATCATTCACAGATTTCCAAACCGTCCTGGAAAACTAACGTGATGAGTTCCAAGATCAAATTGCTTGTTGTGATGATTAGTCATTGTAGTGGCAAGAATCGACGGGTAAGCTATATAAAAAAGCTTAAGTCGTTACTACAGGATCACTTGGACGTAATCGGCCACTGTATGAATGGTAACAGTACTGTCTGTCCACGTCACTTCACCAAAGACTGTTCCATTTTGAGTTCGTATAAATTTTATTTATCATTCGAGAATTCTAACTGCCGCGAGTACATAACGGAGAAGGTATTCTGGAACGCGTTTCACAACTATGCGGTTCCAATAATAATGGGAGCGCCGTTGGAGGATTGCCAACGATTGTTACCGCCGGGCTCTTACCTTCACGTGGACAATTTCCATAACGCGAAAGCACTTGCCGAGTATCTTCGCTATCTGGACCGTGACGACAAGCGTTATTTGAAATATCATGAATGGCGTGTCAACTATACAATACTAAACGAGCATGGTTACTTCGGAAGCGCATCCAAGCATTACTGTCGCGTTTGCGAGGCCTTAAATTATAATTCTAATGCGACAAAAGTCTACGAAAAGCTCGATGACTTTTGGAACAAGGAGAGGGATTGCATTTCAACATAAGACTACTTTTAACTCTGTTTGCTCTTGCCATGAAATACTCATTATTTATATTCCTATTGTATATCTCTTTTGCAAAATACACACATACATATATATTATATAATATATTTAATATAGTAATTTATATTTTTTCAGTACATTATCTTTTCTTAAATCGCACATTTTTTTACATTAAACTATTTATCTCTTTTACAGGACTACCTTAAAGAAACCCGATAAGAAGATTAATAGAAATATATATAAATTTCATTGAAATAATGTTTAATTTTGTTTTAATCCAGCAAACACAATTCAAATAGCACAATGAATTCCTAATATTTCCGAAATATTCTTTTTTCTTGAACTTATACTTTAGAAACGATTAAGGAAGTTACATGTACCATAATTGAAATTTCTGACAACTTTTTAAAGTATTCATTTTGAATTACTTATGGGACAATAGATGTATACCCAGACAACACAATCTACTAAAAGATATCTTAAAGATGTCTAAAAGATGTCCTTATTCCTTTTAAATGTCTTTTGGACGTCTTTAAGATCTTTTAGCAGGTTGTGCTTGTACTTTATAAAATTTATATATATATATATATATATATATATATATATATATATATATGATATGTATAGAGTTGGGTAGTAACTAGTTAAAAAAAGTTAAAAGTTAAGTTAAAAAATTAAATAGCTTTAACTTAACTTAGTTACATTTTTATACTCTTAACTTTCCCAGCGAGAACGTAAACGTCGATTCGACGTCTAACCGACGTCGGAGAAGTCTAAGTTACGTCTAGTCTAAATGCATGTCTAGAAAAATGGCAATTTAGACATCTTCTATTTTGAGTAAATTCTAATGTTTTAGAATTCATTCATAATATATTGACCATGAAAAGAGAGTTTTCGATAAAATTTCGGAATTTTTCCAGCGAGAACGTAGATGTCGATTCGACGTCTAACCGACGTCGGAGAAGTCTAAGTTACGTCTAGTCTAAATGCACGTCTAGAAAAATGGCAATTTAGATGTCTTCTATTTTGAGTAAATTCTAATATTTTAGAATCCATTCATAATATATTGACCATTAAAAGAGAGTTTTCGATAAAATTTCGGAATTTTATTTTGTCGATTATTTACAATCTCTCTAGACGTCTATTCGATATTAAATCGACGTCTAATATCCCAATGAGAAATGACTTATAGATCGACGTCGAAAAGACGTAGAATCGACGTCTATTTGACGATTTCGACGTCGATTCGACGTCTTTTCGACGTCGATAAATAAGTCATTTCTCACTGAGATCGCACGCGTTTTGCATAAAAAATTTATTTTAAATGGAAACGTCAGTTTTTTTTTCTAGATTTCCGATTCAATTATAGTATTACAAAGATAGAAATGTCAGATTACTCGAAAAACATTAAACTAGAAGGAATGATCAAAGTCATTTTGCAAATAACTACATAAACTTAACAGATATTAAATAAAATAGACAGGCGAATCAACGCGTGTATTTGCTAGGTACGTTATAATATACTGTGAACACTGTAAGTATACATTTTATAAGCATAAATTGTAAGAACATCATTGGAATCATTGGAACACCGCGTGCCGTTCGATCGTCAGGTTAAGCAACGCAGTCAGGATTGTTAAACCTAATCCGTGCTTCGATTCAAATCGAGCGGGGTGAAGAAAGATGGAGCTTATCGCGCTTCACGCATGCATGAGGAGAACGCAGTTTTTTGTTTTGTACGTTGGTAGCGACGCGCACCTCTCTCGCGCCCTTTGCTGTGTTAGTTAGTCTTTTCTGTACCGGCTACCAGCCAACGCCTTGAGAGGCCATTGGAATAAAGTTTCTTTTTCTTTGCTGTGCACGCTTGTGAACCTTTAATACGTCGGACCCTAAACGATCACAATTCCTGTCACTCCCTGACGGAGGGAATCACAGTTATATTCAACAGGTTATGGGCCCAGGAACGTTGTGTGGTCTTTAGAAGCAGTGCGTGTGGTTCGAGGATTCGGTACGCGGAAACGTGGTCGGCTGATACGCAGCAGTCTAGACACTCGATCGTGCGGTCTTCGAAAATAACAAAGTCTATTAAAAACGTAAGCGGACAAAATGTCGGATGAAATAACGACTCGGCACATACCGAAATTTGACGGAAGTGATTTCACAACCTGGAAATTTCAAGTCACGAGGTTATTCATCGCGAACGGCCTGTTAAAGATGGTCGATGGTACGCAAACAAGACCGTCAAGCACGGATCAGACGGCATTGAACACCTGGGAACGTGAGAACGCGAAAGCAATGTTCATAATTTCTTCGTCAATGGAGGCGAAGCAGCTCAGGTCGCTCATTACATGCGAAACGGCGAACGAGATGTGGCTGAAACTTTCGAAAATACACGAACAAAGATCGGCATCAAATAAACTCGTGTTAAATCAAAGGTACCATGAGTATCGTATGGCTTCCGGGGATTCCGTTGTCGAGCATTTTACGAAGGTACAAAATCTCGCGCAACAGCTAAAAGACATTGGCCAAAACATTGATGATGTGTCGATAATGGCGAAGATTCTGGGTAGCCTCCCGCACAAGTACGGCGCATTCAGGACAGCGTGGGACAGCGTAGATGGAGAAAAGCAGACACTCGACAATTTGTTAGAAAGGCTCATCAAAGAAGAGAGTCAACATTCTGAAGAGGACGATGTAGCGAGCGCTCTTGCCACGATTAGTGTGAACAAGAAGAAAAACTCTGAAAAACAAAAGGAAGGTCCCTCAGCGAGCCAAAACAAAAGGAAGGAAAAGAAAAACGGTGATTGCTATTATTGTGGCAAAAAGGGACATTACGCTCGAGAATGTAGAAAGAAAAAACGCGATAATGAGGGTAAGGAATCTCAAACTTCCTCGCATGGATCATCCGGAAATTGTGCTTTCGTGTTGACGAGTAACACGAATTCAATGCCATCTGAAGAGGAAGCGCGGCAGCTACAGCAAGTTGGTGAAAGTGATGTTTGGCTGACCGACAGTGGATCGTCTCGCCATGTCACTTTCCACAAAGAGTGGCTCTCTGATTATCAGCCGATAAGCGGAGAGAAAGTGAAACTAGGTGATGACGCTGAGTGCGACGTGCGCGGATTCGGTAATATACACATCGAGAGACTGGTGAACGGAAAATGGGAAAAAGCGACAATTCGAAACGTGTTTTTCGTGCCCAGTTTAAGAAAGAATCTCATCTCGGTCGGCGTTGTTACAAGTGGCGGTTACGAGGTGTCGTTCAAGGACAATCGTGTAGCATTTGTAAAGGATGGTCTAATCTACGCGAATGGAGTGAAACAAGACAATGACGTTTACCGAATGTTCTTCCGTGTGAGCGGTACGCGCGCGGCTCCGGAAGCAAACAGTTTGACGAGCCTTAAGACGTGGCACGAGCGGCTCGGTCACTTGAATCAAAAGGTGCTGCGTGAGATGGTGGAACATAATACAGTTGATGGAATAAAACTTGCAAACGCGAAAGATTTTTTCTGCGACGCCTGTCAGATCGGAAAGTCGCATAAGCGGCCATTCAAAAACGCGAGTGATAGAACGAGGTACCGCCCAGGCGAATTTGTGCATTCCGATGTATGCGGACCGATGCCAATACCATCAATAGGTGGCGCAAAATTTTTTGTAACGTTCGTGGATGAGGCATCAAGTTATAGACACGTGTTCTTCATGCGGCACAAAAGCGAAGTTTATGAAAAATTCAAAATATTTGATCGGATGGTGGAAAACAAATTCGGACGTAAACTGCAAGTTATTCACACTGACAACGGTCTTGAATATTGCAATGAAGATATGCGACAATACCTCAGGTCGCGCGGGATTCGAATGGAGAACTCGGCTCCGTACACTCCAGAGCAGAACGGAAAGGCGGAGCGCGAGAATCGGACAATTATGGAAAGTGCAAGAACGATGATCATGCAGAAGGACCTACCGAAGGCGCTGTGGGCTGAGGCCGTCAATACGGCAGTCTACATTCTGAATCGTACTTCTCCAAGTAAAAATCCCAGGCAGACACCATTTGAGATCTGGCACGGCAGGAAACCCGACCTATCGCATATTAGAGTATTCGGGTCCATCGCATACGCACATATCCCACAAGAAATGCGAAAGAAACTCGACGCAAAAGCGAAGCGATTAGTGTTGGTCGGTTATGAGAACGATTCGACCAATTATAGATTGTTTGATCCCAATAAACAGTCAGTAACCGTGTCCAGGCACGTCACTTTCCATGAACAGACCAGCGAAGACATTTCGTCGATAAACAACGATGAAGATAAGCTAGTGAGTTTGCCAAAAGTCGAAAGAATGGAAGAGGAAAATTGTGGCGGCGGAATGAATCCGGAACAAGAGGACGAACATGACTCAATGGGTGATGATGATGAAGAAGAACGACCGGTGGCCTCGAGACAAGAAATGGATAGACGAAGCACGTTGAGAAATCGTGCAAACATCAAACCGCCGAGAAGATACGAAATAAATTTAACCGAGTACACTCCGATGACCTTCACAGAGGCAATAAATGGATCTAATTCTGAGCAATGGATACGTGCAATCCGCGAGGAATTGGAAGCGCATAGCCAAAATGAGACATGGTCAATTGTCTCGATGGACCGAAGTAAGAAGCTCTTGGACACGAAATGGGTGTTTAAAGTATTTAAGGATGAATCTGGACAAGTGAGAAGATTCAAAGCACGATTGGTGGCGCGTGGGTTCCAACAAAGAGAAGGGCTCGACTATACCGAGACTTTTGCTCCAGTGATACGTTTCGACTCCTTACGAGTGTTCCTGGCTATGACGGCGCAACTTGACCTCGAATTGATTCAATTTGATGTAAAGACAGCGTTTTTGTATGGAGAGGTAGAAGAGGAGCTTTATCTGAAAATGCCAGACGGGCTGGAAGCTGACGGAGATTCAAGTACACTAATGTGTCGTTTGAACAAGTCTCTTTATGGTATCAAACAGGCCGCGAGGTGTTGGAACATTAAATTCACGAGTTTTCTGCGAAAGTTTGATCTAGTATCATGCGAGTCCGATAAATGTATTTTCGTTGGTAGGATAGAAAGAGTACGAGTGTACCTGGCA